AGTTTCAAACACTCTTTGGGATTGGTTATTGATGTTTGAGATGTCAATTGCAACTGTATCGATATTTCGATTTGGCTAAAGCATGTCGAAAAAACTGAACTGAACTGTACTCTGAAACTTGCAGAAGCATTGCTTCTTGAAAGTTCCTTTGATTATGTTGCTGTGAGATCTCATATCGATTGGAGAGGGGAATAAAACATTCTTTATAAGGGTGTGGAAACCTCTCCCTTGCAGACACGTTTTAAAAACCTTGAGGGGAAGCCTGGAAGGGAAACCCTAAAGAGGACAATGTCTGTTAGGGGTGAACTTGGGTTGTTATAAATAGAATCCAAGCTAGACATTGGGCAGTATGCCAGCGAGGACGCTGGGCTCCGAAGGGGAGTGGATTGTGAGATCCCACATAGATTGGAAAGGGGAATGAAACATTTTTTATAAGGGTGTGGAAACCTCTCCCTAACAGACACGTTTTAAAAACCTTGAGGGGAAGCCCGAAAGGTTAAGCCCAAAGAAGACAATATCGGTAAGCGGTGGGCTTGGGATGTTACAAATGGTATCAAAGTCAAACACCGGACAGTGTGAGAGTGAGGATGCTGGGACTCGAAGGGGGTAGATTGTGACATCTCATATTGATTAGAGAAAGGAACGAAACATTCTTTATAAGGGTGTGAAAACCTCTCCTTAGCATACACGTTTTAAAAACCTTGAGGGGAAGCCCAAAAGGGAAAGCCCAAAGAGGACAATATCTGCTAGTGGTAGGCTTGGACGGTTATACTGGTGTTCTCTGTGCATAAGATATGTCACGTCTTCAATGATAAACACGGATTCAAATCTTGATGAATCTCTTTGATATCAGTTGGGTCATTATGGATTTTACCACAGTTCTAAGTTTCAAAACCAAGCTATTTCTATGTACTAATCATCAACCAAACGAGTTCTTCATAGTTATGTGGCTTTAGATAACCAGTGGATTTGGAGTTAGATCTGATTGATCACTATCATTTTAACAGTGATTGTTGGAGAAATTGCTAATTTCGTGGCGTACGCATTTGCACCCGCCTTACTAGTCACTCCTCTCGGAGCTCTCAGCATAATAATCAGGCATGCCTCAAAGATTGCTCAAACCAAAAGTTTAAATTTGTTGAATTCACTGCTGATTCTTGATCTCTTCCTTCAGTGCTGTTCTTGCACATATCATTTTACGAGAGAAGCTACATATTTTTGGAGTTCTTGGTTGTGTTCTATGCGTGGTTGGCTCCACGGCCATCGTTCTTCACGCTCCCCAAGAGCGTGAAATAGAATCCGTGACAGAACTTTGGCAAATGGCAATGGAGCCGGGTACGAAGCATTTTCAGTATATTCTTTTGTTTTTCTCAGTCTCATGCTTACAACAGTGAACTCTTTTTCATGGCAGCCTTTCTTTTGTATGCGACTCTGGTCATAACTTGTGCAATTATACTCATATTCCACTTTATACCTCAATATGGCCAGACACACATAATGGTTTATATTGGAGTTTGTTCCCTTTTAGGTTCTTTATCTGTAAGTATGCTATGTTCATTATGAACTGCTCATTGTGTTTTCTTTCCTTTACTCGCTTAGGAAATAATTAGTGTTCCCTGTAGGTTATGGGTGTTAAAGCTCTTGGAATTGCCATGAAGTTGACACTATCTGGAGTCAATCAGCTCGTTTATCCCCAAACTTGGATTTTTGCTATAATTGTAGCCACATTTTTGCTTACTCAGCTGAATTATCTGAACAAGGTAAGTTAGCATTTTTGTTTATTTTCTTTTTCGAGCTTCGCTTTCTCCTCTTTTCTACTACCATCTTCGAGAGATTCTGTGAGATCTCACATTGGTTGGAGAGGGGAACGAAGCATTCCTTATAAGGGTGTAGAAACCTCTCCCTAGTAGATGCGGTCTAAAACCGTGAGGCTGACGACGATACATAATAAGCTAAGGCGGACAATATCTGCTAGTGGTGGACTTGGGTTGTTACAAATGATATCAGATCCAAGACACCGGACGGTGTGCCAGTGAGGACGTTAGGTCCTCAAGGGGGGAGAGGGGGGGTGGATCGTGTGAGCCCACATCAGTTGGAGAGGGGAACAAAGCATTCCTTATATGGGTGTGGAAACCTCTCCCTAGTAGACACGTTTTAAAACCGTGAGGCTAACGTCGATACATAACGGGCTAAAGCAGACAATATCTGCTAGTGGTGGGCTTGGGCTGTTACAAATAGTATCAGATCCAAGACACCGGGCGGTGTGCCAGTGAGAACGTTGGGCCCTCGGAGGAGGGGGGTGGATTGTGTGAGCCCACATTGGTCGGAGAGGGGAACGAAGCATTCCTTATAAGGGTGTGGAAACCTCTCCCTAGTAGACATGTTTTAAAATCGTGAGGTTAACGTCGATACATAACGGGCTAAAGCGTACAATATCTATTAGTGGTAGGCTTAGGATGTAATAAATGGTATCAGAGCCAGACACCGGACATGCCAGCGAGGACGCTGGGCCCTTAAGGGAGATGGATGGTAAGATCCCACATTGGTTTGAGAGGGGAACAAAGCATTCTTTATAAGAGTGTGGAAACCTCTCCTTAGCAAAAGACGACAACGATACGTAACGAGCTAAAGCGGACAATATCTGCTAGTGGTGGACTCGGACTCTTACGGATCCATTTTTCTTCATCCTCTATTTTTGATCCTGCAGAGTTTATATGAATTCAATAGTAAAAAATCTTGCAGCTATATATAAATAATACAGTACAATTTGACTGATAATCCACTGTTTCATGCAACTTATGGTTCATTCAACTTGAAAGCGTACCTCTCTCGATCCGATAATTTAACACGAAAAATAAGTTATTCATCAAGACTCCTATGATACTTTTTTCCTCCTCATTGCAGGCGCTTGATACCTTCAACACTGCTGTTGTATCGCCCATATACTACGTGATGTTCACATCCCTGACCATTTTGGCAAGTGTTATCATGTTTAAGGTATATTCATGTTTCTCAACGAGAACGAGTGGGATTGATTGAAACGACGTTCTAAATGCTTTAGAAAACGTTCAAGTACAAAATACATGTTTTTTTATTGATTCGTGTTCCATAATGAGCTCACGGTTCAAATATATGCAAATCTAAGAAGTATACGACATATCGAGAACGGTCTTTCGGCTTATACAACTGCTGGTTGCAGATATCAATACTGAGATGGTAACAAAAATTGCTACTCATTTTCAGGATTGGGATAGGCAGAGCCCAACACAAGTGATCACAGAATTGTGTGGCTTTGTGACTATTCTTTCAGGGACCTTTCTTCTTCACAAAACAAAGGACATGGTTGATGGTAAGCTCTTATGGCTCTTATCCGCTGCGTTTTAGTTGACCCTGTCGACTGCTTTTACGTACGTTCGGTTTTCAAATTCTAACAGGCGCATCGACGTCATCGCCAATACGACTTGCCAAGCACGTGGAGGAGGATGGATATAATGGTTTGGAAGGCATACCTCTAAGACGGCAAGAATCCATGAGATCTTGAGCCTTCTCAATTGGATGATATTCTTTGAAGAAAAACTGGTATAGAAGTGGGGAATGCTTTCGTTTTGGTTCTCTTTCCCTACATCTATGCAGTTTCAGCAATTACATTGTTCATACAAATTCTGTCCCCTTATATGAACAGGACTGTAATTTTACAACCATTATTTACAAATGGACTAATTTGAGAAATACCAACCAAAGCTCGTATTGTTTGGATTGAATGGTCGGAAAAAGGTTCGAGTTCCTTAGTCCCACCCCGAGTTTCTTTTGAACCAGGAATCTCATTTCGAGAAGCAAGTTGATATGTACATCAAACTCAAAAACCAGAAAAACCCAACTTGGATCGGAAGGATTGAGTAAGGTTGGGTTATTTTTTCTAGACCGTTAGTGTTTAAGGAAAAAAATTTCGAGTCAACTTGAACCAAATTGATTTCATTGTTACGTGAGGTGCATCCATCACATTGTGTGCCCATGCATGTTGCGTTGCTACTCGTATCCGCATGCCGCCATGCCGGTCCCTTGCCATGCTGGTCTTGATTGTCGCTGTCGCATTGTATGCCTATGCCATGCCACATTGCACTGCTCCTTATAGTTGCATGCATCACACGGCTCACTTGCACTTGCAACATCACATGTCTGCTTGCCTCTTGCTTGCCATTATGGTCTTGGTCTCGATTGTCATTGTCGCATCGTATGCCCATATCATGCCACATTGCACTGCTCCTCATAGTTGCACGCATCACACTGCTCACTTGCATTTGCAATGTCACATGCCTGCTTGCTGCTCGCTTGCCATGTTGGTCCTGGTCTCGATTGTCGCTGTCACATCGTATGCCTATGTCATGCCATGCCACATTGCACTGCTCTTCATAGTTGCACGCGTCACACTGCTCGCTTGCCCTTGCAACGTCACATGTCTGTTCTCAAACTTGCACACTGCTCCGTCGCCGCACGCCCAACCAATCAAAATAAGTTTTTTGAAAAAAAAATATATATATATATATTTAAACAACTCAACGTGAAAATAGAGGGTTGGATTAGGTTATGAAATCATTTTTGCTTACTCCGGTTACCAACCTAACCACCTCTAAAAGTTATAGCTTCATAATAATTGGAATATAAGTTAGTTGGTTGGGGTTGACTTTTTTTTGTCCTAACCAATGAAATTATTCCTTGTTTTTTTCACGAGAAAATCCAATATACATAAAAAAAATATAAAAAAAAAACTAAAATCAATCAAACTAATTAATATTGAAAAAAAAAAGAGATTAAATTTGAATTTTTAATTTAAAATATCCTAACAAATTAGTGATTTTCCAAGGATTTCGGCTCAAGTAAATAAGGATATTATTTGATAGAAACAAATTATTAGAGAAATGATTTATTCTAAAATATTTTAAATAACAACTAAAGCCATCGCGGATGTCCAGTGCAATTCCACTTGAACGTCGTCGTTTTGGCAGTTACCGTGTCGCGGGTAATCTTATTGTTGCCTTCGATGGAAGCGAACCATAGTCAATCTCGAGTTCTCGACCATCTTCGACCTTGAGGGAGCAGTGATCGAATTGGCGCTCTCCCTCCCCAAAACATTTTGGTGTTCCTGATTTTCTCTGCATTTCAACGATGGATTCTGCTGAACCACTGATTAAGGATCTTGGAGAAAAAGCAAGAAGGGCTTCTCAACTATGGCTTGAAGGTTTTATTGACGCCTGTTGTCTTCACCGTGTTGTGATCCTCTGTCGCAGGTGCCATCTCACGTCTTCCACTTGTACTTTAACTTCGTAGTTTGATTTTCTATCGCTGAGATTACTGGACGGGAATCTATGAACACTAATTCTTACGTTTTTTCCCCCTTTTTTGCTTTTAATTGAGTTTAACAAGCTTTCTCAAGGATGTATGAGGGGAAAGAAGAAGGATTTTCTCGACTTCTTTACTATGAATTAAGCTTCTTTTGTTGTTGTTTTTATAATATCATCTGAGGATGTGTTTCAGGTCGAAAAAGCTTTTGATCCGGACGGGTCAGTGTTTTTTATTGAATGGTTTGATCTTCTTAGGAAGGTAATTCTACTCGACCCTCTCTCTCTCTCTCTTTGCGCATCATTTTCGGGATATAGCATTTACTCTTGTTCCCACTTTTCCGTTTCAAATAAACAACCAATTTGCCTTTTTTTTGTCGGCTCTTCTGTTGTGTTTCTGAATTACGCTCTTTAAGAACTTATTAACTAGTAATATGTTGCAAGGAATTCAAATAGGATAGCACGATCTAGTCTATGTTAGGAATATGCATTCTTTCCATCTCCACATTGGGATGAAGCTATCCAATTTGAACTTAATTCAATTTAGGAATTTATAAACTCACAATATTTCTTCCTTTGATTGATATGGAAATTTGCCTGCATCTTTGTCAATCTATTCATATATTGTCTAAAAATTTAATAGGGTTTCGGTTTTATGACGTTGCGGATCATACGTCTCAAAATCATTGAATTTGAACATTTCTCACGATAATGTCAAAAAATAACAACCGTAACTCAGTTTTTTATTCTGCATGCTTTAACTCAGTCTTGGAGCTAATGAAAACTAAGTTTTGGCTCTTGAGCAGTGGTCTAATCGAACTGAGTCAGAAACTTACTTCTCGACTCTTTCCTTAAAGTTTCTCTCCCTCCTTTTCTCTCTTGAGGGTGAGGGGGATGTCCACATTCTTGTGTCTTGTGGACTACGGTTTAGTTTTTTGTAATAGAAATTAATAACATATTTCAAGGACCTTAATTTTCTCAGAGATTGTTTTGACATATCTAGTTTTCATCAGCACTTCCCTGTCTCTTTTGTTTCTTAACAAAAAAATGTTAAACAATGAAAAGTCAGCAGCTTTCTTGCTTCCTTTTTTGCAGTCTATTGATCCTAAACTCAGTTGTCATCCCAACCCTACAATGGATATTACCGGATCAGCAATCAATGATTGGTTCTCACAAGTTGGCCGCATTTGGTGGTGCTTTAAAATTATATTCTTTCTTACGTCATGGACTGATACAACTTTTTTATGTAAGTACATATTTGATGCCATGTTTTTACTTGTGGGGTTAATAAAGAAGTTGTTTCTCCGGCATGCATCACAAATTATTTAATTTTTCCAACAGTTTCTGTCAAAATTAATTGGAAAAAGACGAACCACGTTTAAAATTACGCTTATAAACTTTTCTTTTTGCGAGTTCAGTAATATTCTTATGGATTATAATATTTCCGTTTGACAGGAGAATTTCTTTGATATTTCAATATGGTTGCATACTATGATTATTGTACTTAACTTGTTTATATGCAATGACTGAACATGATTCAATCAAGAACCTTGGATAACATATTTATTTATTTTGTGTTCATCTCAATTTTTTTTTACCGACTAATTGTTTATGTGAATATTGCTTGCAGTTGTTCTGGTTTTATCCAATGTACATTTTCAGCTTCATTCTGAGCAATATCTGGTATTTCTTTCCCTTCTATTTTCATTCATACTCACACGTTTCTTTTATCATTTCTGCCTCAAATTTGATTTAGTAGGTTTCTAATGCTTATGAATTCTTCAAGCCACATAGTTTCATGATTAAGATTTTATTCAGTTAACGCTTACATTTAAATCTCTGCGTACATCTGGTACACTCATACATCCAGATGGAACGGGTTCAACTAGTAGTTTTTGCGAAGTGACCATTTGTTGATCTGAAGTTTCTGGAGAGTTTCTTTCTGGTCCAGGTACAATGATATTGCTAAACATGGCTTTGCTGCAATGGGACAATCTGAGCCAACCGCAGTGGACTCCTCAGGACTAAACGATGGATCTTCCAATGCTGCTCAAACAGGAAAATCAATTGGATTGGGGAGGTACGTTTTTAATTTGGTCATTGGTGATTTCTGAAATGTTCTTTGCTGCTTGTTTGATGCACTTTTTTGCTTGATACTTGTTTAACCTAAAGTTTTTCTCAGGGTTGTAATAGGAATAGGAGAGCAGCTATATTCTCTACTTCTGATCAACTCCTTCTTCCTTGAGGTAATTGCTTTGAAATTTTGTCTTTCCTTGATGCTCTTATATTTGTTTCTTTCTACTTCATTTGGTTGTGTGTGGTTATCTTTCTTTTATTATGAGCATTTGTAGAAGCCGAGTTGCTTATTTGCAGTTATATATAACATTCACATTCTTCTTCTCGTATCCAATGTCTAAATTGTTTTCTGATACATGTAGGTCTATGCTACAGGTTTCTTGCCTTTCGTGGGAAAGACACTCAATTTTATGCTTCTTTCTTGGATGTACGCCTACTATTGTTTTGAGTATGTGGTGCTTTCCCTTTTAACTTATGATGTGCATCGACTATTCACTTGGTGAACTATTCAATTCAATTCTTTAACTTGTAGGTACAAGTGGAATCTTTCAGAAGTGAGTCTGGATAGAAGGCTGGACTTTTTCGAGTCTAACTGGGCTTTCTTTGCTGGTTTTGGTAGGACTCCATGACTTGATTGATTTATTTAGTTTTAGTTGCTATAGTTTGCTAGTTCCGGTTCTGAATATTAGCAAGGAAAATCTGCTGTTAAATAGTCCATTGCAGCTCCATATGATGTGAAGGTTGATTATAAAGATTAATTTGTTTGTTTTTCAGTGAGATGGCTATTTAGTTAGTTTGATAGGAGAAGTACTAAGTTTGTTTGTTATGATTGGAATATTTTAAAGCGACGGATCTAGGATATAGCTCAATTGGTTAAGGCATAAGGTTAAATGTTTGAATCCTCACATCCACATTCTTGAACTAAGAAAAAGAATCATTACAAATTGGTGGTGGGGAGGGTGAGAGAGGAGTTAAGAGTTCTGATATCAAGCTTGGCTCAAGGAGCCAGTTCTCTATTTACCTGAGATTTTATTCGTATGTTACCATCATTTCCGTACAATAAAAGGTTTCTTTATTCTTGGCTTCTCTCGCTCCCTAAGTTAAGACAACCACCATTATAGCTCTCAATTGGCATATATTGGCTCTTGGCAGTTAACATTAACTTCTTGGTAGACAAAATTGTTACAAATGTGAGCAGTGGATCTAGAAGCAAATATTGAGTATTTGATGGTGTTAAATCCTTTCTCATGACATTTTGCTTTCATTTCATATTTTAGAGTTTTATTTTTATTTCGTGTTTGACTTAAGGCTCATGTCTTTAATTATTAATTAAAATTTGAGCTCATTTCTCTTTTCTTGTCATGGTCACCATAGTTGTGATTTGAAACAATACGTTATACTTTTAAGGAAGTTTGAGGCATACCAGTTTAATGGTCTTTCCAGGTAGTCCTTGCGTTCTTGCGATATTTTTCTTCTCACCACTTGTGAGCTATGGAGTAATGGCTATCTTATTTCCACTGGTAAATCGAACCATTTGTCTCCCTCTCTTCACACACACAAACTCATTTCCTTCTAAATTTGTACCGATGTTCTCTTTCCTCAAATACTCACGTCTTACGGCTCTTTTGTTTGGGTTTCATCCCATATGCCTTTTAGTTTGTTCTGACAGCCACGGGCTCAGTTGCTGAGAAGGATATTTATTCACAGAGAACAACTTGGAAATGTGCAGGACTGGGAAGGCTTCCAATTTTCTATGCTGCAAATACATTGTCGTAAGTTGTCTTTCTTCACGCTAAACTTGTATTTGCAAAATAGAATAATTTGCTGAGACTATTCGAATAACCTTTGGATTTCTGATCTAATAATAATTTCTTGTATCTATATAGAATAGAAGTTGACTAAATGTGACAAGGAACGATGTTTTAAATGTTAAGCAAATGGTGCAAAATCTCTCTGGAGTTGTAACGGGGAAAACAGCAGTCTTTCTAAAAAATGGACAAAAGAAAGAAATTCATCTTCACGAAGATAATAGATAGAGGTTTATTTAGTGACTTTGTGCTCTGTAATATAGGAGTAGAATAAATTGTAGAGATTGAACCAACGAATGGAAAACCTGAAAAACTTCAATTATGTGATATTTTGAACTTTACTAGATTAGAACTGTCCGTGAAGCAGGGAAACTTTAGTATTGCCTACCAATGTTTTTTCCCCATGTTGATTGGCCTTGAAGGATGAAGCTCTTGACTCTCTTCCCTCATGAATCACAAGAAAAGATGCAGCAAAACAAGGAACTATAACAGGTTCTGGAGTCTGAATCAATACATATCCGTTTCATGAACAGTAAGCCAAAATTCATTAGCCATTGCCTTCTATTCAGAATATTTCCTGCATGTTCATTTATTTATGAAGTATTGCTGCATAATATATCGTCTCTCAATTCTTAATCTATCTGATGGAGCAGAATCCAAGTGGCTCAAGTCAGATGCTACAAGTGATTCCTACCTCATCCGTACAGAAACGATACCGTAGGTGAAGATCAACCATAGGTAGATTCATAACCGCAGTTTGTAAGATTGGTTGCTGTGTGAATATCGAATAGGTACGCAATTAATTGGGCGAATAGATAAGAATGTGCGATGCCGAGTGATAATTTTTCTGTAACCTCGTTAAATAATGTAAATAACTTATGTTTAGTAGAAAGATTGTTCCAACTCTCTGCTTCAGTTCTTTGTGTGAATTATGTACAATCAAGAATGAACAACTTAGAGTGGATAGAGTTGATAAAATCGTTGTGCAATCTTCTGCCTTGACTTGATGGATTGAGTATACAATTGTTCATAAGTTGGTCGTGAGAAGAAGGTAAACTGATTCTGGGTATAATTAGAAAGCAGAAAAGGAGTTAATTAAGCTGATTTACACCCTTCAAATCTTTTACATCTGCAGATAGATAGATATGTTGTGTTCATACAATAAAGCTCTGTGAGAAACTGGAAAATGGGGCTGAAGTTGAAAGCAGCAAATAGCAGCAAATGGCAAAAGGTATCAATTTATGAGTTTTTTCCTGTCTGGTCAATGAGAAATGGAACACATTTGAATGCTCATACATACATACATACATACATACATACGAGAATCTGCAATGAATATAGAAGTAGAAAGCAAGTAAGAATAAAGTTTTTATTACTCACTTCTCCACTGACTCTAGCTACACCTAACATGAATGTGATTGGTCCACGTAAGCTCCATATTTAATTCTTCCCCACCCCTGCCAGATGTTAGGCTGATGTACTCCACTTATTTTAATTATTTTAATATGATTCTAAAGTCGAGATGAAATAGGTGTTTATAAAATCATAAAATTTGGCTGTCTGCTTATTGGGTATTATGATTTGATATAATTATATATTTAGTTGAGAGTGGTTTTGGGAATTCACTTAAGATTCTTGAGATCTTTCTTTGCCATTTGTTTCCAAAAAAGACAATTATTCTTTTCAAAAGAAATATATATATATATATATATATGTATATATATATATATATATATATATATATATATATATATATATAATTTGAAAATATGAATATGTTGAGAAATTGGTAGAAGGCAATAATGTGGGTGTGGGGACAGCTGAATTGAATAGGAAATGATGAGTCCATTAAATTACAAATTGCCCATTTGGATTTTTATTATACTGTAACAATGCAAACCCAATTGACGACTTTTTGCCCATCTCCTTCTTCTCTTACATTTAATTCTATACGTTTCAAAATCTTGTTTTGTTTTATGCATTGATGTGATGGAATGCTTTATTTACCATTAAATTTAAATTGACCGAATCAAAATGTGACCTGGGATGTCGCCGACTATTCAACTTCCTTATTTATTGTACTCTTATTTTAGTCTATATCGTCAATTCGAACATAGTTTAGTGAATAAAGATATTTATTACCATTTCAAAGTTGATGCCTCCGTCTTTTACCAAATGTTTATTTAGTGACGTCTTATATACGATAAATGAAAAGGAAGTGAAATGGTTTGAAAACAAAAGTCAGAGTAAACTCGAGTTGAGCTATATTCAATTTAATAATGCTATATGTACGTCACGAGGAACATGCACCGAGGGGTTTTTTCCCTTGGCTCGAGTATTCCGTTTTCAGGTCGAGATTCTAGATAACTTAACGCTCACAGTTCAAAGTTTTGCATCTAATTCTCACATTTTTTTTATTAGTTCAAATTTGCATCTAATCTAAGAACAGCACCCAATAAAAAAACATAGGTTTTGAAGGGATAGGATGGAAAAAGGAGATGCTTTTTTGTGCAATGAAGGGTCAAAAAGTGAAAGAAAAACAACACAACTTAGCCACAAAGAACATTTCTCCCTTGAGTTTTTCTTTTTCTTTTTCTTTTTTTATCCCTCAAATGAAATTCCTTTTTTTTTTCCTTCAAATTCAATGCATTTATTTACAAAGAAAAAAAAAAGCAATATATATTATAATTAAAAACATATATATATATATATATATATAAAATAGAAATCTCCTCCTGTACAGTCTCACTCTCAATCATCTACCTAATCTTCCAACAAAATACATTTCAAACAAAACAAAGCAAAACAAAACAAAACAAAACCCCTACCTCTCATCTTCATCGTCAATATTATCCAAAAAAAAAAAAAAAAAAACATGGAAAAAGAAATTACCCCCACATGATAAACAATCATTCGAACCTTTGTTCTTGAAATCAATCGCTGAATTGATCCGAATGAAGTGGGGATGGAAAATGTGGATTAAAAAGCCCAACAATGTGTGGAAGAGATGAATGTTAAATGGTAGGGCGATTCAAAGGTGTGTTTCTTTTATACAACAAAGAATTAAGGGGTTCGGGGGGTACGCAATAACACTTACTAATCTGGTTTTGGGTTTGTCACTGGGAAGTTTTTGGATCTTCGTCCCCACTATCGGTTGCGTGAGGCTGTGGTGCGTTGGAATGATGCTCCAATGGATGATGATTATGGTGATGATCTGAATTAGCATTGAATCCGCCTCTGGAATACGCAGCATTCAGAGCTGCTAACACTCCCAAATTGGACTCTGATACTCCCAGCCCAAGCTGTTGTTGTTGCTGTTGCTGTTGCTGTTGTTGTTGTTGATGCATTAGCATGGAACCGAGTTGTAATTGGCCGGCTCTTCCTCCGCCTCCTGCTGCCGCACCTGCCGCCTGAATTTCGACGCCTCCAGGGATGTTGAATCTTGGCATGAAATGCAATGGAGCCTGCAATGTGTTTGCACTCGTTGAGAATGGCCACATTTGTGCTTCCATTGGACCACCGCTTGCTCCAGAGCTTCCTACATTTGCTCCGCCTGATCCTGTTGTTACTGGCAACATCCAAAACGTGTTGCTCGCTCCACTGCTTGGAGCGACGGCCCACATCGCCGTCGCAGGACGAAGTAGGCTCGAGGATGCTGATTGTTGCTGCGATTGTTGTTTCTCTAATTGCAGATCGCTCTTAATCGCTTTGGGAGATCCAGCACCGCCGCTGCTCTCCCCTGGAGATTGCGTGTCCTCTTTAAACAGGTCTTCTCTGTAGCGTTTTCTCATATAGTTATCGGTCGAGTCTCCTCCTCCTCCGCCGCCGCCGCTCTCGCCGCCGGGGAGAGCGTCGGCAATTTGATCGGCGGTCATTAGATTAAGTTGGTGGTGGTGGTGCTGCTGCTGTTGCTGATGGTGGTGGTGGTGGTGAAACCCTAGCAGAGCAGCATGAGCGAAGCCTTCTTCGTAGGCGTTGGGATGATGAGCGAGAGCCAAAGCGCCATGGAAGGAATGAGGAGCAGATTTTGAGGGAGGAGCAGAGAGAGTGGATCCACTGCTACGAATGGAAATGTTCAAGGAGGAGAAATTAGCAGGGATTGTTCCAGTACCAGTGGCGGCAATAATCGCAGGCTCAGCTTGCTGGAGAAGCCACTCGATGGTCTCGCCGTCGGACTTATGCCCCAATTCGCGGGTCAATTGGAAAACCCTAGCCGCACAAGTAGCCGGCATACGGATGCGTCGGCCACGACCGTCGACCTTAGTATGCCGATCTTTAGTGGAACGCTTGAGGGCGTTAGCGTTGGAGGTGGAGGCGGAAGCAGAGGCAGATCGGGGAGAAGGATTAGTGGTGGTATCGGATCTGGTAGCGATGACGAGTGAGGCATCGAGGAGGTGAGGAGGCGGAGCAACGGCGGAGGAAGAGGAAGAAGAAGAAGAATTAGAAGAAGAATTAGAAGCAGAGGAAGAAGGAGGAGGGAGGGAGACAAGAGTGGAGATGGAGCCCATGAACGGTGGACCACCTCCTGCAGCGGCTGATCTGCCATCGAAAGGGACCACATGATGCTGCTGCTGCTGCGGCGGCGGCGGCGGCTTCTGGTTCTGGTTTGAATGGTGATGATGGTGCTGCTGCTGCTGCTTGTTGCTTTGCTGCATATCTGTAAGTTCCATTCGCTTTGCTGCTTTATACTTTGGTGATTGTTGTTGTTGTTCTTGTTGGTGTTCTTGATCTATGTGTTTGAGGCGTTGATCATGGCTCTTCCCTACCTCTGCTATGTCTATGAATACCCAGGGAAGAGATAGAGAGAGAGAGAGAGAGAGAGAGAGAAGGGAAGGTTAATTAATGGAGGTTGCTTATTAACCCCCACCACCACCACCATGGCCGTATCATTTTAGCTTCTGGGTTTCTCTGATTCACCCTCCTCTTCCTAAACTTTGGATCTTTTCTTTCTTTTCTCACTCTCATCACAAACAACAGTGAATTTGAGAGAGAAATAGATGAGTCCCAGTCTTAGTCCCAGTGGCAGTGGCAGGTGGGGGACCCTCTCCCTCCTCTGCTCTATTCTCCGTTTTTACTCTTTACATCTCACCTTAAGTTCACAATTTCAAAATGCTTGTTACATATTGCCGTCAACCTCACGTTCCTCCAAAGAATATTTCATTCTCCTTTTCTATTGACGTGGAATCTCACGTGTTGAGTTAGGTTAAATTTTAAGACATGGGATCTCACGTGTTGAGTTGGGTTAGATTTTGATTCGGTTCGTGAGTTTATGCTTATTAATGTTAGTGATGCATTGTGACTGAATGTTTGATATTTCAGTGAGTTCACTTAGGTTGGTTAGATCACTAATCCAACAAATTTGAAAAGATTTTTACGGCGGTAACTTCAATGGTTTTTTACCGTCTCCTTCCTCACAATTCTGATACCAAATATGTGCATGCCACACCAAACCAAACCAACCCACTTTTCCTGCCACTGCAAAACAAACCTCCTTTCTTCTTTGACCTTTGTTTTTTCTTCGCCAAGAGGGCATTATCGTCATTTCCCCTCCTTCCAGATTAGCAACCAGCTGCCAACGCAGGCCGAATTAACAAAAGAAAAAGAAAAAAAAAAAAAAAAAAAAAAAAAAAAAAAAAAAAA